GCACGGTATAGCTCATGGCTTCACTGAGTTACGCAAGCCCCTTCGCCACGACAAGGCAGTGATCCATGAAGGGGTATTCAATATTAAGAGGCCAATAATCCCCCCTTTGCATGCTATTGTTCTAAATGGTTGGCTAAAATAACCTAAATTTGGGTCTGCACAACAGAAGATAGGCTCTCTTAATTATTATGCTTAGGAAGCAAATTGGCTTTATAACAGTGGATGTACCATTATAAAATAAATATGAATGCATATTTATTTTAAGCTTTATAATTTCCTTAAATTTGTTGAAATATTTTTCCCTTTCTTTAATTAATAAAATGACCGTGTACTAGTTTCAATATATGATGAAATGTAGAGATTTTCTTGGTAACTTGTCATCTATATGTTTTTGTGGTATTTACAGAGAGGGGTAAAACTTTGATTCAGAAGAAGCCCACTATGTATCCAGATTGGAAAACTTCCTTTGATGCCCATATCCATGAAGGACGGGTGATTCAGATTGTTCTCATGAAGGCAGCAGAAGAGCCATTGTCTGAAGTGACTGTAGGTGTATCTGTTCTGGCTGAAAGATGTAAGAAAGGCAACGGGAAAGCAGAGTTCTGGGTGCGTATTAATTTATAGAATCAATTATTTTTGTCGTTATTTACCTTGGACCAATGGAACTCAAAAGTAAAATATCTAAAAGACTGCTTGCTTCCAGTGAACCTACTTATTTAGTCCCCTACCCCCATTCTCCCAGCCTTCAGAGATGACTAGAGATATGGTCTTCTCTGAGTTGAGGCCTTCTTTATCTAATTTCCTCCTTGGAGACATTGGCCTGATACCTATGTTACTGAGGCTTGGACACCAGCTTGCTTTATAGAATGTTTTTGTGGAATACATTTCTTTTTATAACATAATGGTGTTTTGTAAAATATCTGTCTCGGAAAACTTCAACCAAATTTGGAGAGTTTCTAAGAATGATAGAAATGTCATGGGTACCATTGTACTCCTAGAGAACTCCCCTGGATGCCAACTTAAGTCCATTGTCTCATCTGTTTAATATAGACAAATAATTTCAAACTTTATTCCCTTGAGTAGATGGCAGACAGGAAGTGCTGCAGCTGAAAAGAACACATTTAACAGTACATATATTATATATTTTAATGAGATGTGGCAATGGGCTTAAAAGCTCCATCCTTTCCCCTTTTCTAGAATGCTCCTGGACCCACAGGAACTAAAGACATTATTCACCCAAAAGAAGATCATGGGGCAACTGCAGACCAGAGCGCTGCTACTTCTTTGCCAGCTAGCATTAAAAGGCTTTTGCTTGGGGAACTGGGAAAGATCGTGATTGGGATGTAGGGGTTCCATCCAAGGCATTCAGGGACCACAGACAAACCTGCAGTGCATCTTTGCTTTAGGGCTACAGGCAACCAAACTATCTTTGTTCAGTTTATGCATTTCCAATGTTACATGAAATGCTGCTCAGTCCTTAATGAATATGCTAAAGATCAAGCCTCCAAGAATGGGTGACATACTAGGGAGGGAGGGAGGGAGGGAGGGAGGGAGGAAGGAAGGAAGGAAGGAAGGAAGGAAGGAAGGAAGGAAGGAAG